TGAAATATTATTCTGATTTTTTTCACTTAAAAAACTTAAAATCTGAGCTTTCAGGCAGTGTACAGAAACAGGTGGTTGGCAGGATTCGGCCGTTAGGCTGAAGTTTGCCAACTCCTGAACTAGACTAGGAGGAATTTGGGAACGCCTGCCAACGTGTAGTCTTGGTGTTTGTAGGGAAGGTGGCCCTTCTTCAGAAAATCAAGTGCTGGAAGAAGCACAGTGGAATTTGGTTCTCCTCATTCATTTTCACTCATTCACCTCAGTTTTTGGTATTTTCACTGCATAGCGCTAAACATGCACATTAATTTTTAGTTTTTCTTTTTAAAACATTTTACTGAGTATAATTGACATAGCATTAGTTTCAGGCATACAACAAAATGATTCAGTATTTGTATATATTGTGAAATGCTCACCACGATGAGTCTAGTTAACATCTGTAACCACATAGTTATGAATTTTTTTTCTTGTGATGAGAACTTTTAAGATCTACTCTCTTAGCAACTTTCAGATATGCAATACAGTATTATTAACTACATTTACCATGCTATTAAAGGTTTTTCTTTCTAAACTGTTAGCTTCTAGAATTGGGGAAAAATTGGAGGTTGGGAAAGTGAGAGGAGGAGAATCTGTGCACTTCCTAGTAAGTTTTTTTTTTTTTTTAAGAAGATGTTGGAGGTAGGAGTTTAGTAATTTATTTATTTATTTTTCTGTGTTGGGTCTTCGTTTCTGCGCGAGGGCCTTGTCTAGTTGTGGCAAGCGGGGGCCACTCTTCATCACGGTGCGCAGGCCTCTCACTATCGCGGCCTCTCTTGTTGCGGAGCACAGCCTCCAGACGCGCAGGCTCGGTAGTTGTGGCTCACGGGGCTAGTTGTTCCGCAGCACGTGGGATCCTCCCAGACCAGGGCTCGAACCCGTGTCCCCTGCATTAGCAGGCAGATTCTCAACCACTGCGCCACCAGGGAAGCCCCTAGTAAGTTTTTAAAGCAATTTAAGGAGAATACAGTGGACTTGTCATTTAACCCTAATGGTTTAGAGCAGGAGTTGGCAAAGTTTCCCGAAGGGAAAGATAGTAAATACTTTAACTGTTTCAGTCTTCGTAATAACCCATCTCAACTTTTCAACTCTGCCTTGTAGCTAGAAAGCAGCTGTGGGCAGTACTTCAAGGGCTGGGCATGGCTGTGTTCAGCAAACCCTTATTTACAAAACGGGCCACCAATGGCCTGTGGGCCTTGGTATGCTAACCCCTGCCTTGGAGACATTCTTGGGAGGGAGTAGAATATCTCTAAACCCTCCAAAAAAATGCTGAGTGGGGCGTCCTCCAGTCTGTTTGCTTCACTATGGTGACTTCTGAACTCCGTGCAGGGCACCTCCAGCTCTGGCCCTCCGCCATCCAGGTGAAGCCAGTTCTTCTGAAAAGGCATAAAGGTGCGGCTCCCCTGCTGTTTGGAGAAGGTGTGTTGTTTCTGCAGTGATGACATTGGTCAAACAAGCCAATCCGATTTGATTGCTCCCATATATTTGCCTATATGATTTAAAACCTCTGTGAAAATGAGGAAATGAAAAATTTATTTAACTAGGAGGTTCAAGGGGCTCATGCATTTGGCCAGTTGCCCATTTTCTTATGATTTTTCTTTTTCTGAAAAAAGTAATTAGAGGTCTCTGTTTGCTTATAAAAATTTTTGTCTTACAAGCAAACAATAATTTTAACCAGTAGATTGAATTTTTTAAATTAAGCCAGTAGAAAGAATCTGCAGGGTTTTTTTTTTTTATGACTCTTTCAACTTAACAAGAAACTTTTAGTGCAGACACACACCACTTTCTTTCATTCCAGGGAAACCTGGAATTTCACAGAGTTCGGCTGGTTTAGGTTAATCTTTTTCAGTATGTCAGGTGACTGTAATCAAATATGAGACAAAACACATTCTGAAGCCTAAATTATAACTATTAATCTGTCTGACACAGTCTGTCTCCCACCCACTTCCATCACCCTGCAGCCTACATAAATTCTAAGGTGGAAGAGAGGAAGGCGTTTGAAATGTTTGACAGCTGTAAACTCTGGCTCTGAGTTCCTGCCCTCAGTCTTCCTCAGGCTTTGGCATTTACCCCCTATGTTCGTCCCTTTGTCTTCAGCAGCAGGGTTCCTGCAGTCCTGGAAGTCCGTGGTGAGGCATGTTGCAGGCCCAAAGACTCACTGTTGGCCCTCCCTTCCTCTTGGCACAGCTGTGGTCATCTTCTTACCTGGGCAGCCCTGTGTCCATTGGGAAGTCCAGGGCTCTCCTAACCATCCCTCTAGGTGGCTGCACACCGTCCAGCTGGCCAAGTGCTGGGTCACAGTGACGGGCTTCTGAGACTACTCAACTTCCTGGAATCTCTCTTTTACATAGTGTGGTCCTGGTCTGGGATGTCTGCTACTGCAGCGGTATCCGGAGTCAGTCCCAGGAGATGGCAGTTACTGCTGCTTCAGTTGACAGCAGAGTGAAGGGAAGAATGCAGATGGCTGGTTCCTATAAAATAGAATGATTGAGGAAGGAAAGCATTCATTACCTTTTTCTTATAAAACAAGAAAAAGACCAGATCTGGAAATGATTTGTTATTCATCTTTCCATCTCTAATAATGATAGTCAGCGTTTATCGAGCAATTGACACTATGTGCCAGTTGTGGTTCTAAGCACTTCTCATATCTTTACTCATCTGTTACTCACTTTAACCCTCTGAGGAAGACGGTGAGGCACAGATGGGTCCTGTGACTCTGAAGAGGTGGAACCAGGATCCGACTCTGGCCATCAGGTTCCAGAGTTTGTTCTCTTAACACTGCCCTGAGCTTCCTGGTGCTAGCACAGCACCTGTCCCTTAGTAGTTGCTCATTAAATTTTTTACTGACTGGCTAAAGGAAGGAGAATGTTAAATGATCATCTGTACACTTCGTTGAAGTGAGAGTTGAGTTATATTGTTTTCAGAGCTATAGTATATACCCTGACTTACATCTGCAGGAATAACAAAAGGTCAAGTGAGTGTCCCATCTAAAAGTTTATTTTTAGGGAATTAAGCATATGACAAAGATGGCCTTTCAAAGAACTAAGTAAAAATAGTTTATTCCATAAAGGATGCCCAAGGAACTGGCCAGCCATTAACAACAACAACAAAAAAACAGTTGTTTTCTTTGTATTTCCTTACTCCTTACGTCAAAAAGGAATTCCAAGTGGATGAAACATTTACATATAAATATGAAAACATAGATATGTTGAGAGGAGATATGGGTAAATGTATATATAAACTTAGAGTAGGAAATGTCTTTCTAAACATAAGCAAAATCTAGAAGCAATAAAATAAAAGAGTGATAAGATTAGGTTATTTTAAAAACACCACCAACAACCAAAAATTATGGGCAAAAAATTTTAACGGAGAAAGGAGTGGGCCCAGTTGTTGGTAATTTAAGAAGCGTCCCAGGCGATTCTGATGCTCTCTGAGGGTTAAGAGCAGCTGGAATAGAAGGATACAGCCAGTGGAGTGGGAAGAGGAGGACTTTTAATTTTACACTTCGTGTGATTTTTCTCCCCAGTTGTATTTGTCTTCTTATATTTTAAAAAATTAATGAGTAAAAAAAAAAAAATTGTGATCAAAATCAAACAGGATGAGGCAGTAGAGACATTTTTAGCAGATCTATAAAATTTCCTAGAACTTTAGTATTTCTGAGCATTAGTCTCTGTTAGTAGGTACAATGTTTGCTGATATCAACTGTCAGTTGAATTTAAAACTTTTTTCCCTCTTTTGTCCCTAGAGACCAGAGGCTGGTGAAGAAGCCATCAGCCAGTGGAGGCTGGACTCAGCCCTCAATTCATGGGAATTCTGGGGGTGCTTTGTTTTAGGTGATTCAACTAGATTGCTCATTCAGAGAGAGAGGATGTCTCCCAGGGACACACTTAGCTACAGGTACCATGGGGGAGAGCCAGCTTTGTCAGCTCTTCTGTGTTCTCACCTGCAGGAACTTCACCTCAAAGCTGAGTCCCTGGTAGTCTCCCTTCCCCCTCCTCCCTCAACTCCTTTTCCTCTTCCTCCATTGCTGGGCACACCTGGCATAAAAGCATATCTGTTCTGAGGGACACTGTTTATTGTGTGTGCTGCCCTCCCTCTGATAAGGTCCTTTGATCTGGCTCAGCGAAAGCCATTTGGAAAAGTCAGTTTCCCTTGTCCTTGCTGACCAGGGCCAGGATCCAGCCAGACCTGGCTTGGGGTTGAAGCCCGTGAGTGAAACATAGCTCCTTTCTTCTCAGGTGTATTTGTGTTCCTTTTAAGAAGCTCCATGCTCCCTGCAGCCCTTGAAGTCTTCTCCTAACTCGGCTGTGCTGCACAGATATGGCTTCAAAGGGAGAGAGAACAGTGTTCAAAGGAAGCAGAACATAAATGCCTGTTTCTGCTGCAGGCAGGGCACCTCCGGTCCTGGCTTCACACACCTCTAGAAGGCTTTCCGGCTTTGCTCAGGAAACACTTTAACTGGGTATCTTTGGCAATTCTGTCACAGAGTAAAAAACCCTCCCTGGTTAGGAATCAGATCAAAAAGGCTTTGGGGAATAATGAGAAATGGAGTCTTTCTAGTGTGATGTAGAAGCACTATTATTTGCTTTGCTGCTTAAAGAGATGATGATTTCTCAGATTGTACTGGGAGGTAGGAACTATAATTATAGACAAGAAAACTGAAGTGTAAGAGAAATTGTTACCTGCCCGAGGTGTTGAGCCCATGTGTGATGGGTTTCTAGGACGGTGCTTGCTCCCACAAACCTGTCCCAGGGGTCTGGCCACACTGCCCAGGGTACACACCACTGGCTCTGGGTGGGCTACTTACACGGTCTTCTCCACTGACAGCTTTGCATTTCAAGGAGAAGATGCCGCCAGCCCGTGTTTCGGGACAGGACATCTTCGCGTTGGTTGTGATGACGGATGTGGCGTGCCTGGGGCATGGTAATACTGGTACTGAGGCCTGTGTATTTGTTTTTATTTGGCAGATTCTCAGCCTGGTCTGTGAGATGATGGGATTGGGAAACGGGCGTCGGAGCATGAAGTCACCGCCCCTCGTGCTGGCTGCCCTGGTGGCCTGTATCATTGTCCTGGGCTTCAACTACTGGATTGCGAGCTCCCGGAGCGTGGATCTCCAGGTGTTCTGTTTGTGTGTATGTCATAGAGTATTTAAAGCTGCTGGGCGGTGGGGTCCGAGGGGTTTGCTGTTTATCACCACCTAAGGTGTTGCATGCTGTAATGCTCGCTGGGGGGCTCTGCATGTCCCCCCACCCAGCCCCGGGCCTGACTGCACGCCAGCTCTGCTCTTGGGTGGGAGAGGACCCGCTTGTGACTTCTTAGGATTGCTGCCAGGACATGCCTCTGCTTTTCCTGTGAGTTAACAATTTTCAGTCAAGCCTTTTGGGCTGGTTCTGGGAAGACAACTTACGTTAAGTACCCTGCCCACAGCCCGTTCTGGTCCTCCAGTCCACAGTCAAAATCTAAGAGTGGTGTTGGTAATGCACGTGGAAAATGGGCATGAGAAATCTTTATCAGCATCATTTACAGATAATAATAACTTTATCTTTCCCATTCATTGCTGCCCATTGTGGGTCAGGCAGTGCTGAGCAGTGACAGAGACTCTCATTGACCGCAGTTTAGTCAGCCTCTGAGGAGCCCCCTTCGTGACTAGGCCTCCATCTTGGTCCCCCATCCTGTTTTTGGCCTGCCCAGCCCAGGCTTAGCAAAGAATCCCGCTAACTTATCCCTCCACCCCTGATACCTGAGCAAGGTCCTCATCCCTTATCTTTGATGTCTAGCCCTGGGCCTGCCTTTAGCAAGACTCCTGTTAGGCCAGTTTAGCAAGAATCTCCCCACCCTCTTAGTGCTTTGCCACCCACTGACCCCCTCACTCTGCTCATTGGCTACAAATCCTCTGCTGTCCTTGATGTGCTCAGAGTCGAGAACAGTTTCTCTCTTGACTGCAATAGTCATGACCCCTGTTGCAGTAGCCTTGAGTAAAGTTTTCCTTATCATTTTAGCAAGCGTCAGAATAATTTTTCTTTAAGGATCTATTGCATACATTGCCTTCTTTTGTACACAGACTCTCTCAGGTTGGGATTTTATGTTCCCCATTTCACAGGTGGGCAAACTAAGCCTCGGAGAGGTTAAGGATGAGGGGAGCTGGGATGCCAACCCAGTGTTTCTGATGGCAGAGCTTGAGTTCTTAGCCATGGAAATCCATCCCATAGGGGCGTTTTGTCCTCCTCTCATGCTTACCTCCCCACGGTTGTAGTGCTTTTGTCTGAGCTTCCACTGGACCCCTGTTCTCTGGGCAGATGGGGTCTTGGTGTGCAGAGAACTGAATCTGTTTTCAGAGATTGTGTCTTATAAAGAGTGTTTAAATGCTCTGTTAGTGAGGAAAAGGAACTAAATATTTGAGCACCAGCTCACGCCAGGTAAAGCATAAGCCATTTTATGTACAGGCAGACCTTGGCAATATCCCGAATTCAGTTCCAGACTGCCGCAATAAAGCCAATAGCGCAGTAAAACAAGTCATGTGAGTTTTTGTTTTCCCAGTGCATAAAGAGTTATATTTACACTGTATGGTAGTCTGTCAAGTGTTCAATAGTGTTATGTCTAAAAAAAGTACATACTTAATTTAAAAATACTGCTGGGGGCTTCCCTGGTGGCTCAGTGGTTGAGAGTCCGCCTGCCGATGCAGGGGACACGGGTTCGTGCCCCGGTCCGGGAAGATCCCACATGCCGTGGAGCGGCTGGGCCCATGAGCCATGGCTGCTGAGCCTGCGCGTCCGGAGCCCGTGCTCCACAACGGGAGAGGCCACGACAGTGAAAGGCCCACGTACCGCAAAAAAAAAAAAAAAAAAAAAAATACTGCTGGGACTTCCCTGGCAGTCCAGTGGTTAAGACTTCTCACTTCCAATGAATGGGGTGTGGGTTCGATCCCTGGTCAGGGAACTAAGATCCCACGTGCTTCGAGGCACAGCCAAAAAATAAAAATACTTTACTGCTAAAAAGTAACCATCATCTGAGCCTTCAGGGAGTCATAGTAGTAACTTCAGTGATCATGATTGCAGATCATCATAACAGATATAATGTCCTTGCAGACGCGCATCGTGGAGCTGGAAGGCAGGGTCCGCAGGGCGGCAGCGGAGCGAGGGGCCGTGGAGATGAAAAAGAACGAGTTCCAGGGGGAGCTGGAAAAGCAGCGGGAACAGCTGGACAAAATTCAGTCCAGCCACAACTTTCAAATGGAGAGCGTCAACAAGTTATACCAGGATGAAAAGGCAAGACCTGCTTGGTTTTCCTCCTAATTCTGTTCTAAGTACCATTTATACCCTGTCGAATTCTGCTCAATGGGAGGACAAGCCGCTGTGTGTGTATGTAATGTAGTTATGTGGAATGAGCCTCTTGATCAAGCTTTGGATGTCTCCTCATATCGCCATTAGGCCCTGGGTGGGTTTGTTGGAAAAACTTTTGCAGTGCTGATAAATGGGAGAAATGCAGAAGAACTGTCTTAGCAGCATGTTCATCCTCCTTTTATCTTTTTTCCTTATTTTCTACAAGTATGCATTAAGTACCTACTCTGTGCCAGGTCTGTGCCGGATGCTTGTATCTCACAGAGGAATAGCATTTGTGCCCTTGAGTATCTCACAGTGAGAGGAGATGTAGACCTCCTAACATATACTAACAAAGAAAGTAGGGGACCCAAGAGTGCTGGTTTTTAAATTTAAAAAATACCAGATCCTGCACAGATTAAAAAAGGGGCTTCCCATTAGTGAGCATATCTAAGCTTTATGTGTCTTGCTTTTTCTGGTTTTCTTGGGACTGTGTGACTCCACTTTCCTGTTTGTTAAATTGTATAATGGTGTGAGTCACTAATATCTTCCTTTCTAAAGTGCATCAAACTCATGACTATTTATTTCCTCGCAAGATTTGACTATTTCCTACTAAAACCAAGTCCACATTCAAGATAATGGATCTCAGGATATAACCTCCTTCCAATAAATCAAGCATTTCACAGAGAGAGGCACACGGATTAGTAAGGGCCAAATCTGTGTAAAGTGCTACTAGTTACCAGATAATGAATCATTTCTAGATAGGGCCTCAGACTTTTCCTATGTAACTGGTTTAAAGGTGAGAAATGCTTTTTTTTTTTATTTGCGGAGTACTTTCTCATAGTCACAAATGTGTATTTCTTCCTTGGGAATTGTTCCAGTTTTAATGCTGTTATAGGAAAGTGCTCCCTATAACTTTATGATAAAGTACTTCCCTATAGGAAAGGTCTCCCTTTTCCTCATGTGTGGGTGACACTATTTGTGCTCCTGAAATCCCCTTTAACTGAATAGAATGGGACCTTGCCATTTCTCACAGTGTGTACACATGCTTAACCTCCTGAAGCACGCTTTGGGAGGCTGCAGAGTTTATTCTCAAGGGATAGAGTTGGCAGAAACTCCATCTGGGATTTGAAGGACGTGCCGAGAAGGTCTCTGGCACTCTGGCCCTCTGCCCATTTAGGAAGGAGGCCTGTGATGGGACCTGGGGAGTGTTGGGCTGGGAAAGGGGACCCAGCAGAGACCAGCAGCCTTGCTCCATTGGGCCTGGGCTGGACAGGGCAAGGTGGGAAGGACCATATGTGCTAAGGTCTGGGACCAGCCAGAGCAGGGTTTTCCCATCTGCAGGGAGGGAGGAAAAAGGAGGATGTTTTGTGTACCTGTCTGCCTGCCTCTCCACCCCTGTGTGTATGTGTGTCATTACCTGAAAATTTGACTCTTTTTTCTGTAGGAAGAATTGTCTTTTGTTGATACTCTGATTCTCTGGCCTTCTACATTTTGTTTTTAACTTTTTTTTTTTTTTGAAATGGTAGTGATAGAAGATAGAAGGGCTGTTCATGTCTGCATGTGGTGTTTGGTTATTGCTTTTAACTCTCCTTGTTTTCTTAACTTCATCAGTCTCCCAAATGCCTCTGAAATTTTACTGGCTCGTGAAATCCAAAATTCTGGGAATGACTAATCTCTCTTTTCATACTCCTCCACGCCTCTGGATATTTTTGTGCATTGCACAAAGTGTGGGTACCTGTTTGGGGTGGGGAGAAGCAAGAGCGATTGCAGGGTAATTTCTGCTCATGAGACCTTCTGCCTTGGCCTTGGTATGCCGAGGGGCTCCAGAGTCCTGTAAAACAGGTTGCAGGAAGCCGAGCTTCCTGTATCGTATGGGCGGAGTCCTCAGAGACTGCGCTGCCCAGAGCCATTTGTTCTAGCGAATTCATAGTAACACAGTCAGTGAAGCTTCATCACCACAGGCAAGCCCTAGATACAGAAATGCTGGTTTATTGAGTGTAAGCTTTGGTGGGGATAAGACTTCAGACTTGGAATTCTTTGAAATGTGATTGACCGACTGTTGCCTAAAAACATCTGCCTCTGTAGGAGGAAATGAGAGGGAACATCTCCCAGCCAGAAACCAGGTGACTCTTACACCTCGCTTCTGAACACTTCAGTTTTACGGCTTCTTTTTAAAAAAGGGGACATAATGCGGGATCTTAGCACTCCTGCCCCACCCCCAAGTTCAAGAACTGTTTGAGCATCCAAGGGGAGGGAGGCTCTTGTAGTCACAGTAAACATCTAACAGTGGATATTGAAAGTCGAGGAGTCCCAGTACAGAAGGTAAAGTACACATTTGAGAGAGAGTCAGATAGCCGCTGGGAAGGGGTGAGAGTCCTTTCATTTGGAGTTTTAAGCTTTTAGGAGATGTGATACAAAGTTCTTTTCATTTTGGGGGTGGGGATGGGGGCTCCTTTCTTAGCTCCAGGAGGATTTTTGCCGTAGTTTGGGGTGAGGGTGAATGGCATGGGGCTTCCGGCCAGGCAGCCCTGGGTTCGAATCCTTGTTTTCCTTAACTGTATGATTTCAGGCAAGTCAGTTAAGTTCCCTGGACCTGTTTTCTCAGCCGCCAAGTGGAAATAACAACAGAATCCCTTTTGCAGAGTGGCTGCAATGATTCAGTGTAATATTTGTGAAGGGTTTATCACAGTGCCTGACATGGAGCAGAAGCCCGAAACACGGTAGCTAGTATTATTACAACTAGTCATCGTGGTAGTAATGCTGATAGCATAGGGGTAGAGGTAGTAGGAAACCACAGCATCTGGAGTGATAATATTATTATTGTTGTTTTTTTTTGTATGGACTCTTCACTTTTCTTCTAAATTAAAACCATGAAAACAGATTGTCCTGGCTTTCAGAAGAGATGAAGGACGTGCTGGGGTGTCTGTTAGAGCCAGGTGTGAACAGTGCAGTTGAGCCGTGGAAAGAGCGCCAACAACAGCTGTCACACCAGCGACCAGAGCGCGCGCGTGTTTTGCAAATCTCTGCCGAGCCAGGGTTACGTTCAGCATTACACAGGAATTGTCTCCTGTCTTCCTCTCAGTAGCCTCATGAAGTTGGTGCTCATTGTACAGGGAGAGATCTGAGGTCCAAAGGGAGTTAGTTAGTAACTGTCACCTAGGATGTGACCTAGACCCTGGGTGGCCGCCAGCGGGGCCTCCATCTCTGCCTCTGGCCTCCTGCTCTGTGTAGACCCCACTTCTCTGGGCCGCAGGGGGCCTCTCCAGAGCTCTCCATCACCTAAATCATGCAGGGGGCCTGGGTGTGGCCGTAGAAGAAACCAGGTTGGCCTGAGTTGATTGTTGTTAAAACTGGGCGATGGGATCACTTTTCTGTCTCCTTGCTTCGAAAGACTACTGTATTCCCGCTAGCTCTCCTTTGTCCCCAATTCCAAATTCTGAGGCAGAAAATAACCTGATTGTTTCCGTCTGGCTGGGAAGTCCCCAGAGAAGTTGAGCTGGTCTGTCACCCCCAGTACATGACTCTGTTATCTATTTTTTTTTAATCTTAGGAAGTTAGCACTCGTGCTTGGAATTGGAATGAGGCTCTTTTTCAGAATTTTAAAGACCCTACTGGTGGACTAATAGTGATTCTCAGCTGTGGGAGGAGCTGGCTTGCTGGCACGTATGGGTGCAAATCTCACGTGACCTAGGGAGTTCCAACCTTGGCCAGCATCCCTACCTCAGGCTGGCATTGCTACTCTGCATGGGCATAAAAGTCCCCAAGTTGGGGGCTGGGTAGAAGCTTGAAGCCGAACCTCTCAGGGACAGTGTGGTAATGAAATTTATGCCTCGTTCAGGTCAACACTGTCTAACAATTCCCTGTGACGGTGGAAATGTTCCCTTTTTTTTGCTCTGTGGTACGGTAGCAGCTGGCCCCATGTAGCTGTTGAATACCTAAAATGTGGCTAGTGGGACTAAGGAACTGAATTTTGAATTTTATTTAATTTTAACTAATTTAAAATTAGATAGCCATATATTGGACAGCACAGGTTTGGACAGTAGAGACAGACCAAAAGTAAAACTAAACAAATGGGGCTGTCTCAAACTAAAAAAGCTTTTGCACAGCAAAGGAAATTATCAACAAGACCAAAGGCTGCCAGATGAATGGGAAAAGATATTTGCAAACTATGTATCTGATAGGCGTTAGTATCTAAAATATGCAGAGAACTCATACAACTCAACATCAGAAAAACAAAGAACCTGAGTAAAAACTTGGCAGAGGATCTGAATAGACTTTTTTTTTCAAGGAAGACATACAGATGGCCAACAGGCACATGAAAATGTGCTCAACATCACTAATCATCAGGGAAATGGAAATCAAAACCACAGTGAAATATCACCTCACACCTGTCAAAATGGCTATTATCAATAAGACAACAAATAACAAGTGTTGGCAAGGATGTGGAGAAAAGGGAAGCCTCTTGTACTGTTGGTGGGAATGTAAATTGGTGCAGCCACTATGGAGAACAGTATGGAGGTTCCTCAAAAAAATTAAAAATAGAACTACCATGTGATCCAGCAGTTCCACTCTTGGGTGTTTATCCTAAGAAAACAAAAACACTGATTTGAAAAGATATATGCACCCCTGTGTTCATTGCAGCATTATTCACAATAGTCAAGATATGGAAGCAACCTAAGTGCCCATCAGTAGATGAATGGATAATGAAGATGTGGTGTATACATACAGTGGAATACTATTCAGCCGTAAAAAAGAATGAAATCGGGCTTCCCTGGTGGCGCAGTGGTTGAGAGTCTGCCTGCTGATGCAGGGGACACGGGTTCGTGCCCTGGTCCGGGAAGATCCCACATGCTGCGGAGTGGCTAGGCCCGTGAGCCATGGCCGCTGAGCCTGCGCATCCGGAGCCTGTGCTCCGCAACGGGAGAGGCCGCAACAGTGAGAGGCCG